TGCGCTCGTCCTAAGTGTGTCTATGCGCAGCTTCACACTGGTACTCGCTCCCCAAAGTGTCGTATCGACGCAGTTCGAGTTTCTTCGAAAGGGAAAGTATCGGGTTACGACTGTAACCCTTGTTCCCTGAGAAGGGGACGAGACACGGCGTACCTTCGCCATGCCTTCCCCTGCCTGGGAGCGACTTTGTGACAGTCGTAACCCCGAGATGTTTTCCTCAGTACATTTATCCCTTCGCTTTTTAGTTTCCATGGTTCTAATTTAGTAAATATCTTTTTCTGTTCCAGTTAATTGTCTGTGTATATAAACCCTGAGTTCTGTCTGTTCATTGTTCCATGTCGTCTGTGTTAGCATGCTTGTTATTTTGCCCCTTCCTGTAATCTCCTGAGTATTTATGAGTCGGATTTAAGATTAGTTTTATTTATTTTTGTCATTTACTCCTTTGTCGTGTGCTTTATTGCAACCTCAACGTGATAACTTCATGAAGCATTATGTGTATCTGGAATCTTGGTTTCTGATTTTTAGTTGTTTTATTTCTCTCTCTCGGTCTTTCAAAAAAAAAAAAAGTTGCTCAGTTGTACAAACCTCAACTCGATAACGATATAAAACGATAACACTTTAGAATACCGTTCCATCATTATTGAATGAACAGGAACAAATTAAAACGCAATAATAACATTCTTGTAACTATTATTAGCTAATAAGAAACTTTGATTAATGACTAGTTGTAAGAAATGAAATTGTCCAACGAAAGTGCCCAATCTTGGTCTTTATTCAAACAGGTAATGAATGAACAAACAATACACCAGCGCTGGGGAGGGAAGGACCTCGCCCCAAAATTCTTTTTTATGGTATATATAGTGAAAGTCTAAGGGGAGTAATACAAGTCTAACCAATAGAACCATACATTACATCATAGCTTATCATATATACTTTATATAATAAGTCTATAAATGGTCAGTATCCGGAGATTCATCCTCTTGGTTCTGGAGACCCAAAAAGGCTTCTCAATGTATAACATATAGAGAGAGAAGAAGGGAAGGAGGGGGGAGAAGAATCCATCCTCCATTAATGAATAACAGATGTTGGAGTACATTATCTCAAGACAAACGAATCTCTTGTGTAGTAGACTTATGCATTTTATACTGGACTATGCTGAGACTTTTAGATAGTCAAAATGAACTTCTAGCACTAGTGATTAAAAGCACTCAGTTGAATGTGGTAGTTCACTATAAGCTTAATAAACGCTCTGGGCACTATAAACAACCTATGTACCGTATTATCCGCACTATAAGGCGCACTTAAAAGCCATTAATTTTCTCAAAAAACGACAGTGCGCTTTATAATCCGGAGCGCCTCATATATGGATGGGGAACACACGTTCACCAAGACGGGGAGACAGCGCCGAGCAACTTACGCCACTATCTGCCAATGGATCGTGGATGCCTGGGCTGATATATCAGTCTCAACTGTGATTCGAGCTTTCACGAAGGCAGGAATAATCTCTTTATTCCATAGACAGTAAAAGAAAACTTTATTCAGCCAGCTCACATACCCGTATTTACTTCCTATTTTCGGCCGAAGTCCACAATAGTCGATTGTCGAGTTCGCGCGCGCGATCAAACCTCCTCCATGTGTTCAACATCTGATCCGGATGAACTATCCATTTGAGCTGATATTCTCATTAGCACCTCAATGCAGTACATGAGATCCACGGGGAGGAGTCGGATCAAGATCCAAGGGGTGGAGATGGGTAGGATTAGGGTTGGGTTTAGGGATTAGGGGTGGGTTTAGGGATCAGGGGGCGGAGTTGGGTAGGTTTAGGTGTATGTAAGGTGGGAGGAGTCGGATCTGGATCCGACTCCTCCCCGTGGATTTCATGTTCCGCAGTGAGGACCATCTCGATATTCTCAGAACACCACACAGCACCGTCATCGGCTGACAGTCGTGAGTCTCCACTGTCGCTTAGTTACCAATGATTGCGCGCGCGCGCACTCGACTATCGCCTACTGTGGACTTCGACCGAAAACAGGAAGAAAATACGGGTATGTGCAGTCAGATTCACCGTGTTCACTCACATGGCTCGGCTGTGCACTTGTAATGACACATTAAGGTTGTTAAGAGGCTAAAAGCAGATTTAAAACTTGTCCAGTTTAAGTCAACAGGGTGCAAATTTTAAAAAGAGGATAACACGGTGTAGGCAACACCGGTTTTTGTCGTTGTTATCTGTACTGACAGCACTCCAAATTTACAAAAAATGAGCTCAATGTTAAAATTGACCGGAGTTCTCCTTTAATGTTTGAACAACGTTACCATGGGAGTGAACGGAGTTGTCAGAACGCTTAATAAAGTTTGACTGTCTGACTGTTTTGTTGACATCTAGTGGATGCATAACGCAAACCCAGTCAAACGTTTGACTGCAGTATCTTATGCGCCTTATAATCCGGTGCGCCCTATATATGAAAAATGTTCTAAAATAGGTCATTCATTGAAGGTGCGCCTCATAATCCGGTGCGCCGTATAGTGCGGAAAATACGGTACTCAAAATGATGCAGATTATTCTGTTCATACTTTCATGTCTCGATTCTCCCCCAACATGGGCTGTGTTTTGCGTTCGAGAGTCGAGCATAACAGTACAAGTCCTTCCCTTCGAGCAGTTGGGGCTTCAGGTCAACCGGGAAAAGTTCAAACTCTCCCCTGTGCAGAGGATCTCTTTTCTCTGTATGGAGTTGGACTTGGTCAACCAGACAGCACGCCTCACATAGGATTGTGTTAAGTCAGTGTTGAACTGCTTGAATTGATCAAAGGCAGGACAGCGGCAACACTGAAACATTTTCAGAGGCTCCAGAGGCATATGGCATCCGCAGCCGCAGTAAAGCTGCTCGGATTGCTTCATTTGAGGCCGCTTAAGCACTGGGATAGGTATTGTGTTTGTGCAATTTATACACGAAAATTAGTTTTTAAGTGCATATGATACGCACTGTAAACCCCTTGGGTAGTATTAGTGGTGTGGGGTACGTGCGTATTATACGTTTGGGTAGGATTAGTGGGGTGGGGTGCATGAGAATTACACGCCATAAAGTGCGTATCATACACAAAAACTAATTTTCGTGTATAAATTGCACAATACATAAATGCATGCAATAGATACACATCTCATGAGATCAGGCAGGCTAGAATCTATAGGATGCATCCCACATCTGAGTCGGATGGGATCTTGCCTGCTTATGGACACTATCACTTAAACCAAGAATCTCTAGTGCCCTACCTTGCTGCATAGTAGTAACTTTGTGTTTATTCATGGCCTGCAGGAGCTTTCGCAGTCACATCAGAGAAACTCACCCACCTAAGGAATCACACAAGTTTATACAGTAGGATAAATAATGGTCAAAGTAAGCACACATCACTGTGATTGTGCTTGGGCTACAGCCCAAGCTCAGCGGATAGTAGAAATATTATCCCCAATTTTGAGACGCAATTTAAATAAAATACAACTTGAGTCAATTAGCCACTAAATTTGGTAATACCAGAAAGGATTCAATAGATTTTTGTTAGATTCTAAAAGGCCTGGTTCTCAGACAAAACTCCTGGCCACAAATAGTGTGATATATCAGTTTCACATCTGTTGGCACGAGGATTCCACTCACCGGTGAACCGGTCGGACATTCTGTCTCATCATTCTTCCCATTCTCACTTTCAATCTTACTCAGCAAGTTCCCTTTTTCATCTCACTCATGAAAACACCCTCACCCCATATGTCTTTAAACCTTGAATCAAACTAAGAAGGAACAACCCAGTCTCATATAAAAATGTACCCTGACTACGTTGGTCCAAAGTGCAAAACGTAGAGGGGTTACAATAATGGCCCTTAAATTGTATGACTGTTACATTTTTTTGGCTTAGTCTTCTCCTATTGTTTTCCGTCAGAGTCACGTGACTTTCAAGATTCCGGCTGTGAGAACCAAAAACATGGCGGACATTTCTTTCATGTTTAGTGAAAAAAACTGTATTTTGAGTTAGTTTCTGCATAAAAATAAGTTTTGGTTACATTTCTAGCGAGAAATATATATTTTATTTTCATAATATCCACTCAGTGAGTGTACATAATCACCTGTTTGCTCGTTATTGAGAATATTTTTCAGATCTCGCCAGAATAATGTGAAACTGTTACGTTTTGGTTGCTATTACATCGACGCTGCTATTTGACTTAAGTTTCTGCATAAAAATAAGTTTTGATTACATTTCTAGCGAGAAATATATATTTTATTTTCATAATATCCACTCAGTGAGTGTACATAATCACCTGTTTGCTCGTTATTGAGAATATTTTTCAGATCTCGCCAGAATAATGTGAAACTGTTACGTTTTGGTTGTTATTACATCGACGCTGCTATTTGACTTAAGTTTCTGCATAAAAATAAGTTTTGATTACATTTCTAGCGAGAAATATATATTTTATTTTCATAATATCCACTCAGTGAGTGTACATAATCACCTGTTTGCTCGTTATATTGAGAATATTTTTTCAGATCTCGCCAGAATAATGTGAAACTGTTACGTTTGGTTGCTATAACATGGACTATTGGCATATTTTGACTTAGTTTCTGCATAAAAATAAGTTTTGATTACATTTCTAGCAAGAAATATATATTTTATTTTCATAATATCCACTCAGTGAGTGTACATAATCACCTGTTTGCTCGTTATTGCGAATATTTTTCAGATCTCGACAGAAAAATGTGAAACTGAAACATTTTGGTTGCTATTACATGGACGCTGCATATTTTGACTTAGTTTCTGCATAAAAACAAGTTTTGATTACATTTCTAGCGAGAAATAGCCTATATATTTTATTTTCATAATATTCACTCAGTCAATGTACATAATCACTCGCTTGCTCGTTGTTGCGAATACTTTTAAGATCTCGCCAGAATAATGTGAAACTGAAACGTTTCTGGTTCAAGTTCACAGTAGATGGCGGTAATGCGCGAAATCGATGCAAACGGCGAAGAAGAAGAAGAAGAAGAAGAAGAAGAAGAAGAAGAAGAAGAAGAAGAAGAAGAAGAAGAAGAAGGCAGGAAAAGGTAAACGTTAACAAGGAGGAAAAGGAAGCGTGGATAACTTGACCAAGCTGAAAAAATGAATAACCTTGACCCAGAAGATGCCATATTCCTGGCTGATGCGTTCCTGGACGAGTGCAAGGTAAATAACATTATCTCAGTGGTGGAAAAAGCATATTAATCAATGCTAATTGCAAGGTCTAAGACCATAATAGACTCTGACTGAGGTATTGCAGGGAAGGTGCAAAATTAAAAAGCACTCCAAGCAAAGTGCAACTATACAGGTTCATTGTCTTTATTCAAATGCAAGCTATAGTGCTGAGCTGATTTCCTACGTTAGAGCCAGTGAGAGTTTAATTAAATATTATGTAAAAACGTTTCACTTTCTTTTTTTCTTCTTTTTTTATGTAGAAAAAGTTTTCTAGATCTGTCTGTACAGTACAGGACCACAACCGTTAGACTGAATTTTTACAATGTAATATTTATTATAACATTGGTTTTATAATGGGATTGTAGGTAGCGATAACCTTAGTGGGTGGAGGTTTATTCTGTGGCTAAATTGTTTATTTAGGTGGATCAGCATGGACACACTGAAGGAGGGTCAAAGCAATCCACAAAGCTGTGCGTTTGGCTTGATGAGGACAATGGTCAACCTCTGCCAAAAAGATAGAGCTGGGGAGAGACGAAAGCGAAATTCGGCTAACGTTACTGGTTGTTTTTTGTTTTGTTTTTTTTCATCAGTAGTTGCATTCATTATTCATTGAGCAAGTTCTAAATTGATATTCATATTTTTTCAGTTTCTTCAGCAAGCGTTCCCTCCTGTGCTCCATCTACCAGCACAACTGAGACACTACAAGACACTGTGACCATCAAAAATGTAGGTTTTTTTTCCTTTATACTTGTTTCCTCATTTGTTATGTGTTAATTGCCCAGATTTACCATTGCCTTCTTCCCTTTTCATTTTCAGACTTCCTCATTCAAGATGTCAGAGACCTCTTGGGAAGTGGTGCTGAAAAACCTCTCCCCTCACATTGGAGGGACAGGCAAACTTCCTCTCTGGAGAACTGGACAGTAATAAGGCCCCTCATGGTGAACAATATGTTAGCATCTGAGAAGCCGAAGGAGGGGGTTTGCCATCATTGTGGACACAAGGCTGCAGTAGTGATGTGTAGAGACTGTTTGCCACGATCACTCTACTGCACTGCCTGTGACCTTTCCACACATGAGGCCCTGGTGCTTCATAACAGAGCATCCATGGTGGAAGGGTTTTTCAGACACCTGCCGCCATCCACTTTTGTTCAGCAGGATGAAGGAGGGAAATTCTCCTATTATGAAAAAGGTATTTTTTAATTCTCAGGTTATATACACTCACCTAAAGGATTATTAGAAACACCACTTCAATTTCTCTTTAATGCAATTATCTAATCAACCAATCACATGGCAGTTGCTTCAATGCATTTAGGGGTGTGGTCCTGGTCAAGACAATCTCCTGAACTCCAAAAGCAATTTTGAGCGTGGCATGGTTGTTGGTGCCAGATGGGCCGGTCTGAGAATTTCACAATCTGCTCAGTTACTGGGATTTTCACACACAACCATTTCTAGGGTTTACAAAGAATGGTGTGAAAAGGGGAAAACATCCAGTATGCGGCAGTCCTGTGGGCGAAAATGCCTTTTTGATGATAGAGGTCAGAGGAGAACCGGGTACCACTCATCTCCACTACAAATAGGAAAAAGAGGCTACAATTTGCAAGAGCTCACCAAAATTGGACAGTTGAAGACTGGAAAAATGTTGCCTGGTCTGATGAGTCTCGATTTCTGTTGAGACATTCAGATGGTAGAGTCAGAATTTGGCGTAAACAGAATGAGAACATGGATCCATCATGCCTTGTTACCAATGTGCAGGCTGGTGGTGGTGGTGTAATGGTGTGGGGGATGTTTTCTTGGCACACTTTAGGCCCCTTAGTGCCAATTGGGCATTGTCTAAATCCCACGGCCTACCTGAGCATTGTTTCTGACCATGTCCATCCCTTTATGGCCACCATGTCCATCCTCTGATGGCTACTTCCAGCAGGATAATGCAACGTCACAAAGCTCGAATCATTTCAAATTGTTTTCTTGAACATGACAATGAGTTCACTGTACTAAAATGGCCCCCACAGTCACCAGATCTCAACCCAATAGAGCATCTTTGGGATGTGGTGGAACGGGAGCTTCTTGCCCTGGATTTGCATCCCACAAATCTCCATCAACTGCAAGATGTTATCCTATCAATATGGACCAACATTTCTAAAGAATGCTTTCAGCACCTTGTTGAATCAATGCCACGTAGAATTAAGGCAGTTCTGAAGGCAAAAGGGGGTCAAACACAGTATTAGTATGGTGTTCCTAATAATCCTTTAGGTGAGTGTAGGCTATTTTACATCTTACACGAACCCTGGTTTACTCCAACAAACATGCTGGATGAAGTTTTGTTTGATAGAAACAACACCCTTACTGTTTCATTTACACTAATATGTAAACTAATTCTGCTTTTTAGATTGCATGTTACCAATCGTTCCTCCCTGCTGCGACTGCTCCACTGGGCAAACAAGCTTTTCCAGGGGAAAGCCAGTTATTTTAGTTGGAATGAACGGTAACCTTTTTTATTTCTTCATATTGTGTTTTTTGTTTCTTGTGAACAATAGATAATTGTTTTTCTTTGAAATTTCAGGAAGATACAACCTATTCCTTCCATCAGTAAACTGCTCCTGTGGAAAAACCTTGCCAGTAACCATGAGTGATCTGGTTGAAAGTGGTTACTGGCCAGCCACTGTCAATTTTGAGACCTTGTACATGGTGGACTTGTTCACCACGTATGAAGATCTTAAAATCACTGCCCCAGGGATGTCAAGACAAGCTTTTGTCAGCATGCTCGAGTGTCGTACAAAACTCTTTGGGCGAGTGAGTGGACTCATCATTTCTTATTTGGATTACGTTTTAAATAACTGATTCATTGTTAGGACTTGTTCTTACAATCCCCAAAGTTTCAGTACATATTTCTTGATGGAGCCCTTTCTTCGTCATGACCATAGTCGGAAGCCAACCTTTTTTTTCCACTTTTGTTCTCAGAGTGGTAAGATATGTGGGGACACAATGCAGAGGGCCTTCCTCGAATGGGCCTATGCCAAATTTGAGGTTGACAAGCTGTCTCAGGTCCAGCATTTTCAGTGCCCTGCATGCACACCCTCCATGTTGGCAGTTGCAGTGGATGGGAACCGCAAATTATATCGTTTCAAAAGCCAACCAGGGTGTGTAACATTCAAGTACAAATTAAAAGGATCAAAATCAAAAGTACAAATCAAGTACAAATTACTTTTATACAATAAATTTTACCCACATCTACATCTATAGACCAAGACCTGATGGGTTTTTTGATGGAGTCTTTTTGGCCAGTGATGCTGAGGTGTCCTCCTTTGTTGATTACATCCATGGAAAAACTGGACATGTAAGCTAAATTTATATTTCTTCATGTGAAACACCACAATTTCACATTTTTATGAATGCTACCCCCCCCCCCCCCCCCAAATTTAAACAATATTTAGTTTAATTAAGTGATAGAGCGGCATTACTCCATCAAATGCCATAATACCATGATTTACAGCTTACTGTATAAAATGTAACTGTGTAAATGTCTGTATTTGCCCTCATCTGTTTAAGAATCCAGGAAAAGGGAGATGTGGTGTGGTGCGGGTCAGTGGACCGCAGCACGAGAGTCCGCCAACAAGTCTGCAAGCAAACTAGATGAGGAAGGTGTTGAATTGGCTGTCTGCCGTCATGGGGTTTTGCTGAAGGGACTGAATATGTTCCGTGGATAAATTTTTGCATACCCATTATATCTCCAGAAACAGCTAGCTTCACAGAACGTCCAGTTCTTTTGCTCTGATGTGGTCTGCAAATATTGGCCATATCTGGAGAGAGTTGTGGACCACTGTCCAGAGTTGGAGGACTTGCTGGATATGCGCCCATTTCTCTCCATCATGCATGCAAAAGCGCATTCATGGATGTGTGAGGTAATCATGACAATTAGATGTATTTCTTACCATTTGTACCACACGTTATGATTGTCTGTACTCTGCCCCTACTTGTTGTTTTCCAAATGATTACATTCATGTAAATGTGTTACAGTTAAAATGGGGGGGACGCAATCAAGAAGGAGCTGGAACAACAATCGGGGAGGAGGTTGAACAGGTTAACAGCTTCCTCTCCCGAGCAGCCATATGTTCCAAGTACATGTCAAAAGCCGGTAAGCATTTTTCATGTATAGTTGTGTCCAAATTGAGACCAAGGGGTTTGAACACTGATGCTCGGCCTTTGCATTTTAGAGTTCCATGCATAGGTGAAATGCATAAGTGAAAACAAGAAAATAAGTCTAGTCAGCTTACAGACACTGATCAGGATTCTCTTTATAATAATTTATCTTCTGATTCGTCAATTAAGTGTATGATTATTTCCACGTTTATGTGACAATATTAGAGAATGATCAATGTAGTATCTGATCTTTGGTCCTCACTGTGAACCTAAATTACTGCACATTCATTGTGTGTCATGTTCGCACAGACATGCTGACAATCCAGGCAAGTGGCTGGAACAAGCGAAAGGCAGAAAACCTTGACCGGACATTGGCCAAAAGATATGTCAAGGTACTTACTAGGCAAATATGCATAACAACATTTTTTTTTTTTTAATTGGCTTTATGCACATGCTGCACTACTTCCTGAACTTAAGCCAGCTCCTTGTTTCCTGTCTGACATTATTGGCCAAGCTTGATTAATTCAGGTGTGTCTGATTATTGTTGCCGTGACTACTGAGGTCAGGCACACCTGAACCAATCATTTTGTCCAATAATGGCAGACAGGAAACAAGTAGCTGGCTTAAGTTCAGGAAGTAGTGCAGCTGTGCATAAAGCCAATTGTCTCAGCATTTGTCAACATGGACATTTCTTTTGGACAGATAGTGATGGGCAGATCGAGGCTTCGTGAAGCAATGAAACAGTTGAACCAAATGGTCCATATTGTTTCGAGGCTTCGAATCAATCCGACACCCGTCTCCACGGTGACACCTAGTGGTCACTTGCAGGTGTTGATCTGAAACAACTTTGATTTTTAATACAACGAGCCAATAAAAAACTGTTTTTTTTTTATTAGTATTTATATTGTATGTTTCTATTATGAAGCTTGTAACCTGTAGTCTCTTCACATTGCATAATGTTATTTTGGTCATTAAAAATGAATAAAAGAAATCAAGCCACAATGTCTCACTTTCTTATAGATTTTTATTCAAAAATATCAATCTCTCTGCTGTCGAAGGACTCAGCCTACTTCTTTTTTTTACAGATAATTTCTCCAGCCTTTGAAAAAATCCTCTCACAAGAGACACTTGTTGCTGGCATACAAAGATATTTTTTAGCAAGGACATACAAATGAGGAAAGATTACTGCTCTCTCTTTCCAGTAAGTTAGTGGATCATGAGTTCTGGGCAAATACGCATCGTTGAGGTATTTTTTCACTTCCACTGTGGCATCAGCTGTAGCATTGTGTATCATCTGGGTTTCACGGATGTGATTATCAAAATGTTCCCATAAACTGTGCTGTGTTTCTACTGGTGTTGATGATGATGGGCCTGATGTTGACATTTGTGGCTCTGAATGAAAATGAAAATCTATTATATGCATCTATCTATTAATCTATATAAATATATCTAATAATATATCTATCTATCTATCTATCTATCTATCTATCTATCTATCTATTAATCCATGTATATATCTAATAATCTATCTGTCTATATATATATTTCTATCTATGCATCTATTAATGTGTCACTATATGTACTCTGTCTCTCAGTCAATGTGTAAATTTAAATGGAAGCCTAAATATAACTAAACAAATCGCACTATAAATGTCACTATATCACCAAAAATCCGCTACCTCAAAACCAAACTCCTTTCACAAAAACCCACGATGTGAAAATGCGTTTACTTCACTTTTATACTGTGTGTGATAGTGTGATCTTTCCCGACTGACCTGTCAATCAAACCCTGACTCGGCGGAGCACTCCACCTGATGAAACCATAGACTGTAAAAAAAGATGGACGACGCCCCTTCGCTCTTCTCATAGACAGTAAAAGAAATGGACAGAGCGATCTCATTGGAACTCAGTTGAGACAGTTGAAGCCCACTTTTAGCGATTTTTGAGAACTTCCGTTCCTGACGCGCAGACTCAGACTGACTCAAACTAAGCTTGATGACGTGAGCAACCTGTCTGACAGACGTTAATCTTCTAGTAGCTGTGCGTGAAAACTGCCAACGTTAATCTTGCAGAGACGGGGAACTTGAGCAAAGAGTTCTTTGGCGTGAGTGAGCAGGAGTAAGTATTCCGTTGCTTTTATGGACTCATTATCTATGGGCTTCTCCCTTGACGGGACGTCCCCCCGATTGCCTGCGAGCTTCTCCTCCTGTCTGTACGGTCATTTCTGTACAGCGCGACAGAGAGTCGAGTGGTTATGACGCAATCGTTAGCCTATTTTTACTAAATCTGTTTCTACGGGGCCATAGTGTAACATAGAAGGTAATGGAGCCCTTTATACATTGTCGTGTTTCTTTGGAAATAAATAATGGACAAATGGAGTCTTTAAACGCCTCAGATGTAAAGTTATTCGCTGTCAAAGTGACGCAAAAATGAATGGGAGTCAATGGAAATGCTAACGCAACTGAAGTTCTGCTACAACATGGCGGCACCCGGCCGGCTTCAACTTCCGGTCGATGGATTACCCCCTTGGCTCTTCTCCATTGGAGAGAACTGAAGCCGCCACTTGAGTCTGCGCAGTAGCGTTTTCGGGACCAGTCATGCGCAGTCGTGAGCAGGAAGTAAAGCCGCGAAATCAAGGCCCCGCCCTCACGCTCGTTGAATCAATCGCAAGCACACGCCCTGCACTTTTGCACACTACTGGCCTTGTCTGCTCCGTTCCTCTCCAATGATGTCTGCTGATTGCAGTACCTCGTTAAAATAAGGTAAATACAACCACTTACCACATAGTCAACATTATGAAAAAAAGTCCTTTGGTGCTTCAGTGACTACTTCACACAGAGAACCTGTCAATCACAGCTGTCAATCATGATGTCACAGCACCGTTTTTATAGCATCAAATAACTAACTAAAAACTAACTTATTTTAAAAACAAACACTTGAAATTACATCAACGTGATAGAAACTACAGTAAATGACAGAAACTATCTTTAGAAAAAAGATATGTGAAGTGTAATTTAATTATTTAGTTGGTCTCACGTCCCGTTGAATAACATGGGGAGGCGGGGCTTATGAGCTATACTAGGACCGGTCACCGGGGGGCGATCGAGACGTTTTGGCTTCACTTTTGAGGGCTTGTGCGGCACGCTTGGATGAAACACTCAGAAGCTTCATTTAGCCGTAGTCACGTGACGTGGGTGTTTTGAATCACGCTTCGGATCAGTGTTTCGAATCATCTGCGCTTCGGGATCTCGCAAAGCTTCGGAACGACTGTTTCGCGTCAGCCATCCCTATGGACAGACTGTACAAAGGATTGCAGAGGCAACAAAGGACCTAGAGAAACTCACAGCTGAGTTATCTCTACAGCAAGACACAGTCCAGCAGTGGGTGTCTGATGTTCAGGGGTGGACCTCAGGTAATTTGAAACAATTATTTAATGGCATATTTTAAAGAATCATTGGCTCTGCTCTTGTACAGAGGATCTAAAGAGGCTGATTGTAAACTAAAATGGGCATTCATTTGTTTTTTGTCATACAAAGAAGCAACAATCCAAAATGACCTGCAGAGGACCATCGAGGGGCTATATTTGGGCATCAAACAGCGAACATTTCAGCTGTATCGTCAGTCTGGTGAGAGCAGAAAAGGCTACTAGTAATGCAGATTTGTGAAAAAATGAATTCACTACTGATTTATACATAGTAAAAATAGCAAAGCCATTTATATATATATAAAAAAAACTGTTTACTACAAGTCAGGGCAGCATACTGAAAAACTGTCAAAATCATGATTAGGTTTAGTGCAATATCCAAATATTTCCAATATTTCTGCAAAGTGCAGAGATGTCCTGACCTACCAATTTTGTCCTCTATTTAAAAAAATGTATGATTGTTTAAAATAGATTCTGGAAAAAAAGCAAAAATTATCACACAAAATCTGTCACAATAATCATAACACATACATGCATATTGTGAAGTCGTATTTTGTATGGTGCTATTGTGTAGTCATCGTGTGAATGCACACTCATTTTGTGTTTCTCATTGTAGGTGGGAATAAGCGAAGGCATCAACTGAGAAAAAAGATTGCTGTTGAGAAGAAAGCCTTGGAAGTTGCCATCAATGACCACAATGCTACTGTGGGGGAAGCTGAAAAACTCCCTCCTCCCAATGAACTCCTGGCTGTGGACAACTACTCCTGGCCATGGGAATGTAAGTACTTCCTCGGAAATGCACTGAATACAATTTGTTTTATGCACACATCTTGATGTAAATATGTAATCTGATGTAAAAAATGTTATCTGATGTTAAAAAAATAAGACATTGGGCAATATGCAAAAAAAAAAGAAAAAAAAAGGATGTAAATGTAAATGGATGTGATCAAACCCCTTCGCGAAGCGCTGGGGTTCTATCTCATCCTTCCAGGGTTTATTTCTCTATTGTAGTAGTACAGCATGCAAAATATCTTCTGTCCCAATATTTTTATAGGCTGTAAGATAACACTTTGATGTAATGTATTGCAGGTCATGGTGATATGGAGCGGAAAAAAAATGTTTTTGACAAGGTAATGCTGCTGGCTAGACTGAAAGAAGAAGTTATTGTGCTTCGTGAAGTCAAGCAGCACATGGAGTACATGAGGAGTGTTGCTGGACTGATTGTAGAGTTTACCTTTCAGCTCACTGAAGACACCAATGGGAAATGTAAGGACAATAAATAGTTTTCTTCAATTTGCTTCTCTGGAAACCATTGGATAATTTCTTTATATTTTAATGTCACATTTTCAGGCAGTACAGAGGGCTTAATGGAGAAAGGACTTGAGGGACTACTTTCTGTACTGAAGAAAAGATTGTGTGAAGTTGAAGCACAACTGGATACAGCACGCACAACATACAAAAGTATTCTTGGACCGCAAACATTGTCCTTCGATGACTTCTCTGAAGAGGAAGACTTAGAGGATACTTCCTCAACTGATGAGGAACTGGGAGAGTAGTTATTAGGGAGAAAATGTGTATGACTCTATGAAGATGTCAAAGCACAAGATGTCAAACATGACAAATTACCTTGTTTTTGTTTTTGTTTTTTGTTTTTTTTTAGCATTACATTGGTCGAAATGTATTGCGCATGCATACATAGCTTAATTGCATTTGTATATAATTTGTATATGTAAAGTAGTTAACTGTACATAGCCTATTGTATTGTTACTGTCTCCAACAGTGTGTTATGTTTCCATAGAATATTCTCTCTCTCTCTCTCTCTCTCTCTCTCTCTCTCTCTCTCTCTCTCTCTCTCTCTCTCTCTCTCTTTCTCTCTCTCTCTCTCTCTCTCTCTCTCTCTCTCTCTCTCTCTGAATGACTGTAAATATTACAATATTGCCAAAGCATTTAAAAAGACATCAAAATAATAAAATTTTAACATAACTTCAATCTAAATGTACTTCTTAAATAAATTGTACAAATTAAGAGTGTAACATATCTGTGAACATTTTACACCGCAGTGTTTTAACATACATACAAATTATAATATACGTGAACAATGTGTGTTTTGTTTTTGTTTTCCCTGTCGGGAAAACGAAAACGCCGAACATTAAGTGGAAAATTAAATATCTCTTGTTTTAAAGATATTTGTGTTTTATAACTCAGCACTACAGTAGATTGACGTCACATATGATGGTTTTAAAAATCACACCTTCAGTTATGAAAAACAAATGTTAGCCAGACTTTTTCCAGACAATATTAGGGAAAAAAGATACTTAATTATTAATAAGATAATTAATTAACTCAAAACATAGAAAAGTGAAGAAGAATTAATAAGAGAAGTTTCCTTTCGAATTATCCAACGTGTATATCCCGTTAATACTTAAAGAAATTCAAGGTAGATGTTAATGCAAATTGTTCTTTTTGTGGACAGCACCCAGAGACTAGTGCATTTGTTTTGGCTTTGCCATTATTCCAAATTGTTATGTAAAGACTTTTCCCATTTTGTTATTGATAACATTGATAAGGATTTTTCTCTACTCTGGGAAAAATGTTTAGTTTGCAATTGTTAATTGGAAAAATCAGCAATTAGACAAAAACAAAATATTCGTAATGATCTTTTTTAAAACAAAATTTTATATACACAAATGTAAATTTTCAGGTCAGAAACCACTTTTCTATGTTTTGAGTACTGATGTACAACATTACTTTGGGACTATCTCTGACTCATGTATCAAGAAGGCTTTAAAAACAGTTGAAATATGTAAATCTTTTGATATTTTCCTTTGATATGTAAAAATATTTTCTGATTAGTTATACTCCTGTCTTTTTTATTAGTAATCATTTTATATTGTGACTGTTTATATAATTTTTTCCATTTTAAAAAATGTGTTTGTGTGTGTTTTTAGGAGGTTTTTTTTGTACATTTTTCATAGCGGAAGTAGCAACATTGGCCGTTACTATGGAGATGAGGACAAGTCCGCTTTGCGTCACCATAGACGTGCGTCACGTGAGCAGAGCAGTTGGCGCGCTCGTCTCCTGTTTTAGTTAAAATATCGTCATTAAACGAACATTTTTGTCTTTTCTTAGCATAGATCATATACATGCAGTATAATTATTTATTAGACAGTGTGTGATATTTGATATATTGGGTAGATACATGTTTTCACAACCCTAGCACGGCCCTAAAACGGAGGAACTACAACTGGGGTGCTGATGTCAACACAAGTACTAAAGAGGGGTCTAGGGAGTTGTAGTTTTTTTTTAAACCCGGGGTTTTCCCTAAAATTGGAAGTTGTAAATACTTAATTGGTGGCATTCCAGGGATTTGAGGGGATGTCAAACACATTTTTGGCATCAGAATTTAAATATTGTCTTGTTCAAAGGGGGATTTTTTATTTTCACACCATAGCCCCCCCCCCCCCCCCCCCCACCCCTTGGCGACTATAACTATGACTACTCAACTTATAACCCATGTCAACACCTTTCTATTACAGTTGGTCTCATGTCCGTAACCCTTTTTGTCCCATAATTACAAGCCTTCAAATGTGCCCTGAGGTTAAGGTTCAAGGGTCAATATCTCAAAGCAGTAATAATATAGAACCTTCGAATTAATATATATTACTCTCCAGGTCAAGACCTTTCCAGTGATATATTTGGTGTAGCTATAAGACAAAGTTTAATTTTTTTTTTGACATTTTGGACATATGCCCTAACAGGTTCAGTTGCAGAAAGCACTTTGAGGGCTTCAAGTGTGTGTGTGTGTGTGTGTGTGTGTGTGTGTGTGTGTGTGTGTGTGTGTGTGTGTGTGTGTGTGTGTGTGTGTGTGTGTGTGTGTGTGTGTGTGTGTGTGTGTGTGTGTGTGTGTGTGTGTGTGTGTGTGTGTGTGTGTGTGTGTGTGTGTGTGTGTGTGTGTGCGTGTGTACGTGCGTGTGTGTGTGTGTGTGTGTGTGTGCAAGGTCATAGATTTGGTTTGAACATTGGGGGGTAATGTTAGTGAAAAAAATGTTCTGCATATTTCTCATGTGTTCATGGTATAAATATGGGGGGGGGGGGGTTATTGACTACTTATTTACTACCCCCCCCCCCCCCACACACACACACACACACACACACACACACACACACACACACACACAAAAATTACGCTCCGTGTGTGTGTGTGTGTGTGTGTGTGTGTGTGTGTGTGTGTGTGTGTGTGTGTGTGTGTGTGTGTGTGTGTGTGTGTGTGTGTGTGTGTGTGTGTGTGTGTGTGTGTGTGTGTGCGTGTGTACGTGCGTGTGTGTGTGTGTGTGTGTGCAAGGGCATAGATTTGGTTTGAACATTGGGGGGTAATGTTAGTGAAAAAAATGTTCTGCATATTTCTCATGTGTTCATGGTATAAATATGGGGGGGGGGTTATTGACTACTTATTTACTACCCCCTCCCCCCCCCCACACACACACACACACACACACACACACACACACAAAAATTACGCTCCGGTGTGTGTGTGTGTGTGTGTGTGTGTGTGTGTGTGTGTACTCGTACAACTCCTCGCTCCAATGTGTTTTAGACCATTGGAGCGCGGACAAAGAAAGTAAAGTGAGGACATTTTGGCCGGTCCTCACTTTCTGAGACCCCTTTAAATGTCTGTTTGAGGGTCAAGACTTGGTTTTAGGGATAAGGTTATAATTGGGTCAAGGGTAGGTTTAGGAAAGGGTTCGGGTTAGGCACTTAGTTGTGATGGGTAAGGTTAGGGTCAGCGGCTAGAGATTGTATTGTGTCAATAGGCTATTATGTCCTCATAAAGATAGATGTACAAGAGAGAGAGAGTGTGTGTGTGTGTGCATGTGTGTGTGCATGTGTGTGTGTATGTGCGTGTGTGTGTGTGTGTGTGTGTGTGTGTGTGTGTGTGTGTGTGTGTGTGTGTGAGAGAGAGAGAGAGAGAGAGAGAAGTGTGAGAGAGTGTGAGTGCAAAAGTGAGTTTTGTGTTTCTACCCCTGCCTTTCCCACACAAGGTTGCAATTCTTAAATGTGATATAACAAAGGAAAATATTAACCATAGATGCTGTTTATATTGCTTTTAATTGGGATAAAATAAACATCTGTTGAGTAGGTCCACCAGACCCACGAACACTGGCTGATTAACAAAAATAACCAATAAAGCACTACTCACACTTTTTTGTCTACTAAAATATAACACCTGATGCATTGTGTAGCCTATTTGCTGTGGCAGATATAAATTATTTGAATGACTGTGTTAGGTTATCCTTGCATAAACCTACCAGTCACAGAAAATTTCAAAAAACACCATTTAGTAGGCCTATGTTTGTAAGCCATTTGCTTTATGAGGACACAAATGTCCTCATAAACCATGTTTACATTGTAATACCCATGTCATTATACAGATTTGTGTCCTCATAAACCATATTCAAGAAGGGTGGGGGCTGGGGGGTGTTGTGTTCTGTTCTTCTGTTCTGTGTTCTATTTTTCAAGATTAGCCAAATTAGCCAAGGCCAATTAGTCTGAGGTTGAAAAATAATTAATCTTATCATAGTTCTTTTGATAAAAAAAATGGTAAAGTACAAAAGTTATTTTTTTATTTTTTTAAGTGTCACAAAAGTGGCATCGTAGCTGCGAGAGGTCGCTGATTGACAAGTGGGTTGCCCTATCACAGAGATCAGCAGATTGACAACTGAGTGAGGGGGGGGTGTCCGCTCTATCCGACCGACCATGATCATACTGTTCAGTACACTCTCAAAGGTAGGTAATGAATACATAACATACTTACGGAACCTGAATAATAAAGTTAATTAGCGCTGTCTAAACCATCATTTGTTAATTATGCATCACCATTAATTTATAGGAATGTGTTTAATGACATAGGGGTTTACCCAGCTTCAAGCCACCGCATTTAAGGTTAGCTGGAGTTGGCGGCAATGTGCTAACCGAGGTCAGAATTATAAATTGAAAAGTGTATTTACTCCAATACTAGATTAAATCAGAAATCAACTATGGAGTATGGGTTATTGTTGCATAGAATATGTAGTAGGGCTGTGCGATATGGACTAAAAGTCATATATCGATATTTTTTTCCGTGATCGTATAATTTCATACGTCTATCATTAATAGCCCGCGGTAATTCGCACTCCCATCACTCACTCATACTTCAAATCCCACAAAGCACTGCAACAGCTGACACACAGGTCATAAAAACCGAATGTGCTCTATGCGCGGCGGTATTTCCGGTTTGATTTCTTACGCCAATCGTAGAATCCAATGCTATACCGAGAACTTATATTGGTTTTCATACTCTATGGCTATACTTAAGAAACGTTAGTCACAAAAACAGACACCCCTCATTGTGTGTATGCTTCTTTTTAAAATGATAAACATAACTATACAAAATTACATCTAAACGTATTAAAGTTTTGTTTCAAAGACGGGAGGACAGTACATTTTTAAGATTCTGCCATAATCCCGTTTTCCTCGGTTCTCCTCCACTTTAAATCTCCCCAACCGGAAACTGAAGAGCAGCCTTGCGTTGGCTTTATGCACAGCTGCACTACTTCCTGAACTTAAGCCAGCTCCTTGTTTCCTGTCTGACATTATTGGCCAAACTTGATTAATTCAGGTGTGTCTGATTATTGTTGCTGTGACTACTGAGGTCAGGCACACCTGAATTAATCAATTTGTCCAATAATGGCGGACAGGAAACAAGGAACTGGCTTAAGTTCAGGAAGTAGTGCAGCTGTGCATAAAGCCAATTAGGCCAAATTACCAACATTTGTAATGTAACACTTAAATAATCAAGTGTCTTTGTCACTTTGGTTGTCATTAAATGTTGATTGTTTTTATATTCTAGTTTTAATATGCCAAGAGGATCAACAGTAACAACCTGCGTGAGCTGCAAAGCAGCTATTGGTGTGGCCACCAAGACCTGCAAATATTGCCAGTCAGTACAGCCAAGAAAGCAAAGACTGGCAAAAAAACTCCAGAAATTTGAGGCCAGAAAGGAGACATGGTTGAAAAACCAAAACAAAAACCAAACCACCTCTCATGTTATTGATGAGGCATCTGTCTTGGTATGTGTTTAGCGTCTGTAGTTATTATTTAAATAATTACAGCCCACAAAGTTTCAGACATTTATAATTCCTTATATTTCTGTATATATTATATAATATATATCTTTTTTTTTTCAGGTCGAAAAGTTAAACACATTGGGGTACAAGGCCATAGTCTTCATTGCAAAGAAAACAAAGAAGCAAAAAACCTGGTCCGCACAAGTCCTCCAGCCAAAATGGCAGCTGTCAGACCATTCTAAAAAATGCCTTGACAGGATGAAGGCTCTATATGAAGTTTTAATTAATAGTAAGTGTGTTCGATTATTTAAAATCTTACTACAGTCAACATTAAAATAAATGTGGCACAGACACAGCAATTACAGTAGGGAATTGTCTTGGTAGCGGTGCCACAGGGCAAACCACAGTGGACCAAAAATAGCTATTCACCTGTTCATCAAATTTGGTCTTTGCTTTATCCAATAGGTTTTTCGGTAACACTTTATAATAATAGTTTGTCAGTCATTAATAAGTAACTATGCAGGAAGTAATGCAGGACTAATGAGTGTTACTACATTAACACTTCAGCTTCTACTATTAACTAATATAGAAACAAGCTTAACTAATCAGTAAGTACTATCAAATTTAGAAATGGTTCCTTATTAAGTAAGCAATAATTACTTAATGAGATAGCCTAAGCCTCATAATTAACTGTTAACTAACTGACTAATTATAAAGAACATTATCGTGTGCCTGAGACATGATCAGTCATATGTTTTACTCTGAATGTAGTCATAAAATGCATCACTCATTACTCAAGTGTTACCTAGTCACTATGCAGGAACTACTAGTGATCTGGACCATTATTTTAAAGTGAAAAACATATTTTTTCTACTTTAAAATAATGGTCCAGATCACTAGTAGTCCTTGAAGAGTGACTAGGTAACACTTGAGTAATTAGTGATGCATTTTATGACCATGTTGAGAGTAAAAAAAAGACTAATTGCTAACGTATCAAACACGTTAATGTTGTGATTATTAATTTAATTAGTTATTTATAATTTGTCATAATTACCTATTAGTTCTTAATTATCTCATTAAGTAATTATAGATTACCTAATAATGAACTCTCTCCTAAATTTGATATTACTTACTGATTAGTTAAGCTTGTTTCTATATTAGCTGAAGTGTTAATGTAGTAATACTCATTAGTCCTGCATTACTTCCTGCATAGTTACTTATTATTGATGGATCATTATTATAAAGTGTTACTGATTTTTCTTTTAGAGCTGCGACAATTATTTGATATTTGAGATTATTATACAATTAATCACCAACAATTTTGATAATTGTTTAATAAAAAATGCTCTGCTTTCAGAGTCTTACATTAGAATATATATATATATATATATATATATATATATATATATATATATATATGTATGTGTGTATATATATATATATATATATATTCATACATCATCTTTTAGATTATGAAAATAACTGTTGTTTGCAGACTTAGTTTCTTAGTTTGAGCCACATAGCTCACTGATTGTCTGCCATACATAGCAAAAGAGTCAACAGCAAGATGCATTGCTCAATTCAACTTCGATGCATTGCTCAATTCAACTTCAAAAAACTATAAACACATATCTCCACTTCACATAGGGTAATGAGATCCTACAATTTGCACCAGAGTACAAAATCAGCCTCACCTCAGTTTGATAGAGAGCATATAGTCCATAGGGCAGCATGTCTAGACAGAAGAATACAAATGTACTGGATGTTTCCTTATGGAGCACAGTCACTGCTTGAAAAAGGGGACATTTGTTCTTATTACAGGAGGTAAATAATTTCCTCTTTTTGTACCATTTGTACAGGTTGTACTAACCAGTTGTCCACCACAAGTCCTCCTCCCATCCAGTCCACCATCCAGCTCACCACCAGTCCTCCCATCCAGCCCACCACCGGTCCTCCCATCCAGCCCACCACCAGTCCTCTTCTCATCCAGCCCACCACCGGTCCTCCCATCCAGCCCACCACCGGTCCTCCCATCCAGCCCACCACCGGTCCTCCCATCCAGCTCACCACCAGTCCTCTTCCCATCCAGCTCACCACCGGTCCTCCCATCCAGCCCACCACCAGTCCTCTTCTCATCCAGCCCACCACCGGTCCTCCCATCCAGCCCACCACCGGTCCTCCCATCCAGCCCACCACCGGTCCTCCCATCCAGCTCACCACCAGTCCTCTTCCCATCCAGCCCACCACCGGTCCTCCCATCCAGCTCACCACCAGTCCTCTTCCCATCCAGCTCACCACCAGTCCTCTTCCCATCCAGCCCACCACCAGTCTTCCCATCCAGCCCACCACCAGTCCTCCCATCCAGCCCACCACCGGTCCTCCCATCCAGCCCACCACCAGTCCTCTTCCCATCCAGCCCACCACCAGTCCTCTTCCCATCCAGCCCACCACCAGTCCTCTTCCCATCCAGCCCACCACCAGTCCTCTTCCCATCCAGCCCACCACCAGTCCTCTTCCCATCCAGCCCACCACCAGTCCTCTTCCCATCCAGCCCACCACCAGTCCTCTTCCCATCCAGCCCACCACCAGTCCTCTTCCCATCCAGCCCACCACCGGTCCTCCCATCCAGCCCACCACCAGTCCTCTTCCCATCCAGCCCACCACCAGTCCTCCCATCCAGCCCACCACCGGTCCTCCCATCCAGCCCACCACCGGTCCTCCCATCCAGCCCACCACCAGTCCTCTTCCCATCCAGCCCACCACCAGTCCTCCCATCCAGCCCACCACCGGTCCTCCCATCCAGCCCACCACCAGTCCTCTTCCCATCCAGCCCACCACTAGTCCTCCCATCCAGCCCACCACCGGTCCTCCCATCCAGCCCACCACAGAACCACCTCAGCAGAAACGCAGTAAGTTCTGCTGATATTTTCAAATAGCATATAAATCATGATTCAATTGCTAGTCGTGTATAAGAATAAAAATATATTATTTTTCATATATTTAATCAGGATATACTTTATAACCATGTTAAACATTTCATACGTCTCTCCTTCTTAAACTGAAATAATACTCTAAATGAAGAAATGTATTTAAATGTGAAAAAAAAAACAAGTGACTGATTAGTGTGAGGTGACTTCTGAGGTGTTTTACAAGTAACTACTGTAATATGTAGGTCTGGATAACTTGCCTTTCAAATACTACTAAAGGGAAATATAACGTTTAAAAATTCATGACAGGATGATTGACAGATGTTGAAGCAAAAACTTTTGGCAAATGAATTACTGTTCAACCAGAACAGTTTCAATCTATGCAGGAACTGATGATTATGGAGAGTACTGTTGCACATCCAAAGTCTGCTGCAGGTGTTTGGTGCCTCATTCTTAGCTGTATAGAATTCACTTCAGTCTAAATTTGGCCCCTGAGGATCATACAAACTCCTATTCCAGTGAAGTTCCTATATTCAATGAATATACAACAAAGACAAGATGTTTAATGTTCAAACTGAAAAGCTTTATTGTTTGTTTGCAAAGATACACTCATTTTGAATGTCATGGAGCATGGGTATGCCATGGACACTAACACACCCCCATGGCTTTTGAACTTAGCACTGTTAACAATCTGGGAGGTCCTCTTCCTTTTTATCCCGAGGAACACGACGTCCATGATTTCCATAAACTATTTTAAATGTGTACAGCACTCACAGCACTTGTAGTAGCGACAAACTGTGTTAACTGACAATTGTTTTCCAAGGTGTTCCTGAGCCCATGTTAATATCCTTTATAGTTGTGATTCCCACCATCACATAGCATCCCCAGAAGACTCAGTCATTCACAACCAAGGATGACTTGCTTGTGAATGAATCCTGGGATGCCCCTTTAATGCCCAATCATGACACTCATGTGTTTTTAATGAACCTGTTCACCGGTGGAATGTTCCAAACATTCCCAGTCTAGATCCTGTCCCTGTCCTGTTAATATAGGTTGAAAATGATTTGAAAATCATTGTATTGTGTTTTTATTTTCGTTTTACAGTTGACCCAGCTTAATTGGATTTGGGGTTTGTAAAACACATTGAATCAGATTGACAGAATCTTCATACTTAGTAAATCATTTTGTGAGACACTGTGCCCTGTCAGTGTGAATTGAAACATTATCAGTCTTGAAGACACATCTCCCATCAATATTAAAATTACAGGACAAAGGTGATGTGTGTAGGAGGAACTACATTCATTGTTTTTCCCCTCATCTTCCAGGCTTTTCCTTGAATTGATCACCTGTTTGTACATCTTTCTATAACCCTTAGTAGAGTGAATAAGTGACCACACAGCATATGGTTGAACAGTGTCCATGTATTTCAATGAGTGCCCTGCAAATATCTTTCCAATTGTAATGTGACATTATATTTGTTATTGGAATAAAGGTATTTAGACCAGTATTCATTGTAATAACAGCTCTTCACAGATAAATTTCTTTAATCTCAACAGATATGTCTGCAAAAAACAAAAAGAAGCAGAAGAATTCTGCAGCCTCAGACAAAAGGAAGAAACTGAGGGGGATACAATCACCCAAAGGTTATCAAGCTTTACTAGTTTTACATTTCACCATTTCAAATCAGACTTCAAATACAGTGATTCTTTTGCCTTAGCCAGATATACTTAAGTCATAAATATATCATGTGTAGCCTGTCAAATTATAATTTTTTTATATATTGATGATGTATGAGGTCAAACTCATGTACTTTTTTTTTTGCTCTTTCAGATTGTAACCATGGAATCCTTGAAAAGGAGCCTTACTACCCAGTGAAGAGGGTGATCCGCTGCAAAATGCAGAAGGTTCCCAGCAAACATTGGTCCGACGGCAACGTCGTGTCCCTGGCCAAAAATAGTTGCGGCCAGGACGTCATAAATCGGTAAAAAATGTAACACAGAACATTTCCTAAAAATGCATTCAGATACATTTGTACATGTCTACAGTTGCATGTATAATTGTTATTTTAACTTTTAGCTCGTGTAGTTATGTTTAGTGTATCAGGTGAGAGGACGTCACCTGGCGACGTCTTTTACACGTGCATTTATAGTCCATCATGACCCTATGAAATCCTTGTTAAATATGCAAAAGCTGCGCTTAATCCTCGCATGGTTAATACTGCAATAATTAATGTAGTTGCCCATGAAGTTTTTAAGAGGTTGTGAAGAAGACGTCCACTGGCGTCCTTTACACGTCTAGTCAGGCTGTGAATACTATACGTCCACTGGCGTCTTTTGCACGTCTAGTCTAGCAAGACAGAAAAAAATTATCAGGATTTATAATTCTTTGTAAAATACACGATTTATATACAAATGAATATATATTTACTTTATCTTGTTTTTATAAATTATAATCACAAAATGCACAGTATAGTCAAGTGATTGCAAAGCCACTGCATTTTAGTCATTATTTTAACCTGTTGTACCTGATGTATTCGTTGTTATTTTTTTATGGAATGTATGTACAAGTAAAACAGAAATATACCCGGTCACCATTTATGTCTGAGTTGGATGTAATTACCCAAACCCTCTGCCCAAACCATAAACTGTGCTGCCAAGATGTAGTAACAAAAGATCTCGCGATATTACAAAATCCTGCGATGGGATTATCTCGCGAGATGTTAACGCGTTCTCCCCATAGATTCTGGAACTTTGAACAAACACGAGGAGAGGAGGGAGTTGTGTCGATATTATTAAAAATCTACTGTTGGGTAAGTACATTTTGTATTAGATTAACGTGCTTGAGTTTTACTTGTGTGACATGAATGAACCGAAAGAAATTATGCCCACATTGTCAACTGAAATTTACTGAGTTTGGCTAAAATTAGCCAGTAGGCTAAAAGTAACTTTGAACGTATACAACAACGATAACGTTATACCAAGTATATTGTTTAATGATACAGTCATTACTGTAACTTATTAATGTAGCCTTTGGGAGTTTCTTTCAGAAAGTAAATGATCTGAAATGGAATGAAATGTTTAGCTGGATTTTAACATGTATGTTTTCAGTAACTGCTTTAAAAATAAAAGCAGAACATATTTTATACAATAAAATAAAATGTAATGCATGTTGATTACCTTTTTCTAATGTGTCATTCATGATTCATTCATGTTGTTCCATGTTTTTTTTTTAATTTAGCTGTAGACCATAAAAAATATTTTGAAAATAAGTGCATATCATTTACCTCAAATTTTAATTTAATAATAATTTTATTTATTTAAATATATATATATATTCTCTTCCCTTAGATGCTGTGAAGAGGTGGAGCCCAAATGCTACAGACTCTGAAATTGATGCAGCAATGGCAGAACACCTGAAACACGAACAGCTGGTGGATACAAAAACTGAGCCAAACAATGTGTTTAAACGGATAGTTTCCCCAAAAATGAAAATTGTCCTCATTTACTCAACCTCATGTTTCAAACCTGTATACCTTTCTTCATTGAATTTTCATTTTTGGGTGAACTATCCCTTTATATAATAATTCAGTATTTTGTAATTGGTATTTTAGTTTGGTTAACAAATGTTAAACATTGAAAAAATATTAAGATACATTTTGGCTTTTCAAGATCAATAAAATGTGCTAAATCAGAACATGCTTCTTTTTTTCTTATGTCCACAAATAATGTGTTCTTGTTTGTGATGTACACGTGATTAAAACGTTTTATTGACGGTCAGGTCTGACTAGACCAATTTTGGACCTTTTTAGAACCTTTGTCAAGATGTGTAAACTTCAAGACTTGATTGCCTTTCACGATGTTACACAATATGTGTGTGATTATTTTAAATGCAGGCTTATATACACTTAATTATGCAGCAACACATTTAAACACACAAATGACGACGCATTTAGACGTCCAGGGACGCGCTGAAGAGACGTGGAATTCACGGCCAGAAAAGACGTGGAATTCACGGCCAGATGACGTCAAAGACGTCGGTTCAACTTTCATTTTGGAACTATTTTTCAACCATGACGGGACGTGTCGGACGGACGTCTTTTCAACGGTCATTACACGTCCAAATGTTTGCTGGGTTAGCTTTAGAGTAATTTATAAAAGTTATAGATGTACTCTGTAGTCGGTGGAATTGCAGCACCACATCTGGAAACCCCTTAACCCCCCAACTTTGATGTTTTTACAGGGGATTCAAATGAAGCTCGTGGAATGGGAGCCCTGTTCACTTTGGTATGTACAATTTATCATATCATATTCCATATTGATTGGAATAGCCTAATTCTTAGTTCTTCAAAACAAAGTAATAGCCTTGGCTTGTATTTGTGGGCGGCTGTGGCTCAGTGTGTCAAAGGCTACGTTCACACTGCAGGCTGAAACGACCTAATTCCGATTTTTTTGCCCCTATGCGACCTGTATCTGATTTTTTCATGACAGTCTGAACGACACAGATCTGATCTTTTCAAATGCGACCCAGGCCAATTGGGTATGTGGTCCAAATCCGATATGTATCCGATCTTTTGAAATGTGACTGCAATCTGAACGACCAGGTCACATATATCCAACACACACGTCATTGCACGCACCTGTAGCTCGCCGATACACTCCAACTCCAACGCGTTTCTGCACTGTTATGGGCCGCCGCAGACGTGTCTCTTCCCGTGACAGAGTTGATCAAAGGCGCTCACAAACATAATCGAAGGTGGATCTGGTCATTCGGAAGTTACTGATGAATTCTGTATCAGTGAAGCCACTCACATCAGTATCCCACCACTCCTGGCTGCGACACCGCACCCACACGTTTCTCTGTTTAATTTTCTTCTTAAAACGAGAAGATTCCCAGCAAACATTAGGACGTGTAATGACCGTTGAAAAGACGTCCGTCCGAGACGTCCCGTCATGGTTGAAAAATAGTTCCAAAATGAAAGTTGAACCGACGTCTTTTCTGGCCGTGAATTCCACGTCTCTTCTGGCCGTGAATTCCACGTCTCTTCTGGCCGTGAATTCCACGTCTCTTCTGGCCGTGAATTCCACGTCTTTTCTGGCCGTGAATTCCACGTCTCTTCAGCGCGTCTAAATGCGTCATCATTTGTGTGTTTAAATGTGTTGCTGCATAATTTAAGTGTATAAGCCTGCATTTAAAATAATCACACACATATTGTGTAACATCGTGAAAGGCAATCAAGTCTTAAGGTTTACACATCTTGACAAAGGTTCTAAAAAGGTCCAAAATTGGTCCAGTCAGACCTGACCGTAAATAAATCACGTGTACATCACAAACAAGAACACATTATTTGTGGACATAAGAAAAAAAGAAGCATGTTCTGATTTAGCAAATTTTATTGATCTTGAACAGCCAAAATGTCTCTTAATATTTTTTCAATGTTTAACATTTGTTAACCAAACTAAAATACCAATTACAAAATACTGAATTATTATATAAAGGGATAGTTCACCCAAAAATGAAAATTCTTTCATTTACTCACCCTCATGTTCCAAACCTGTATGAGTTTCTTTCTTCTGCTGAACACAAAAGAAGATATTTTGAAGAATGTTTGTAACCAAGCAAATAGAGCAACCATTGACTACCATTATTTGAGAAAGATTAATGGGAAGCGACATCTTGGTTACAAACATCTTTGTGTTTAGCATAACATAGAAAGGTATACAGGTTTGAAACATGAGGTGGAGTAAATGATGACAATTTTCATTTTTGGGTGAACTATCCCTTTAAACACATTGTTTGGCTCAGTTTTTGTATCCACCAGCTGTTCCTGGAGCCTGTTTCAGGTGTTCTGCCATTGCTGCATCAATTTCAGAGTCTGTAGCATTTGGGCTCCACCTCTTCACAGCATCTAAAGGAAGAGAATATATATATATATATATATATATATTTTAATAAATAAAATTATAAATTTGAGGTAAATGATATGCACTTATTTTCAAAATATTTTTGGTCTACAGCTAAATTAAAAAAAATAACATGGAACAAGATGAATGAATCATGAATAAAACATTAGAAAAAGGTAATCAACATGCATTACATTTTATTTTATTGTATAAAATATGTTATGCTTTTATTTTAAAAGCAGTTACTGAAAACATACATGTTAAAATCCAGCTAAACATTTCATTCCATTTCAGATAATTTACTTTCTGAAAGAAACTCTCAAAAGGCTACATTAATAAGTTACAGTAATAACTTTGACTGTATCATTAAACAATATACTTGGTATAACGTTACCGTTGTTGTATACGTTCAAAGTTACTTTTAGCCTACTGGCTAATTTTAGCCAAACTCAGTAAATTTCAGTTGACAATGTGGGCATCATTTCTTTCTGTTCATTCATGTCACACAAGTAAACCTCAAGCACGTTAATCTAATACAAAATGTACTTACCAAACAGTAGATTTTTAATAATACTATCGACACAACTCCATCCTCTCCTCGTGGTTGTTCAAAGTTCTAGAATCTATGAGAACGCGTTAACATCTCGCGAGATAATCTATCCTATCGCGGGATTTTGTTGTATCGCGAGATTTTTTGTTCATATATCTTGGCAGCACAGTTTATGGTTTGGGCACATCCAATTCAGAAATGGTGACCGGGTATATTACTGTTTTTGTATATAAATACATTACATAAAAAATAACAACGAAAACATCAGGTACAACAGGTTAAAATAATGACTAAAATGCAGTGGCTTTGCAATCACTTGACTATACTGGGCATTTTGTGATTATAATTTATAAAAACAAGATAAAGTAAATATTCATTTGTATATAAATCGTGTATTTTATAAAGAATTATAATTCCTGATAATTTGTTTCTGTCTTGCTAGACTAGACGTGCAAAAGACGTCAGTGGAGTATATTCACAGCCTGACTAGACGTGTAAAGGACGCCAGTGGACGTCTTCACAACCTCTTAAAAAC